GTCTATTAGGGTGACTAGCCAATCACTATTGCAGACGCTCGCTCAGACACATTTGCGTTTGTTCAACACCCACAGAGCGAACCTGTGGTTTATACTGCAACTATGCTGAGCAGACCTTAGTTACAGTTTCTGGGAGAGAGCGTGTTATCAAGCGTGATCAACAATTTGAACAACGCCAGCACGCTAAAACCTTCGGTCACGTTGACTTGTGATTTCGTGCTAGCAAAGCTATCGACGCCCCCACCCCATGTGCTCCATCTACCTAATTTAATTCACAAGACTTGGGTCAACCCGTGCTATAGTTTTCAGGCACTTTCAAAAGGCACCATACGCTAGGATCGTCTCCCTCTAGACAAACAACGTAGTGAGATTTTCATGGTGAGAATGCAAACGTTCTAACCACTTGGCCACGCTCTCATATATATATATATATATATATATATATATATATCATGTTTCATTAAATAATACAGACAAAAGACAAGTGTTGTCTATTTATTTTATGTAAATTCTTTTCATAACGTCTGATAAGCTTATTAACATTATCATTAAACGAAGAAAGAAAATCACAATATTGATCCATATTTTTTTTTATTCCAATCTAAGCTTTCGGCTTACATAAACCATTATCAAAGATGACATTTACTGTACGATATATTAAGCAATACACGGACAAGAATGTGATGATAGTCTGTTTCTGTTTACATGGATGATTTCCAAGCAACGATAAACACGTGCATATAAGACGCTGGAAGCGAAAATCGCACCGCAGCTCATGACGTCACACATGACCACGCGAGAGTGAATTCGAGAAGTATTAAGTATGGGAAGCCGTTCGTATAAACCAATGGCTTCTGTTACCAATTATAGACATTTAAGTATATTTGTGGAATATATATATATATATATATATATATATATATATATATATATATTTGGTCATCAATTTGGTCATCGTATATACCACAGGGTATTTACTTTTTTGAAAATTTGGTCATCGTATATACCACAGGGTATTTACTTTTTTGAAAATTATTTGGAGGAAACAGGGATGGAATTCTATCTTCGATTTAATAACCATCAAAAAGAAACTATCTAGGACAACAACATCAATTTCACTGTAGCTGCACATTTCAAACAAACGGGCCATAATATTGCTAACGTTAGATGCGTCCTTTTAGCGTTGTTCTCTCAAATGGCAATAAAAACAACGAGTTAATTAAGATTTTTTAAATAATTTCACCCATTCTCGGTTTAAACAGGAATTTAGGCATACTCAAAGAATATCAGTTTCCACTGGGAGCCTTTTACAAAACGCCTGCATCACTAATCGTGGCACTCAACTAACCCAAAGCGATCAGATCTCTTCAGTAAATCAAGACACATAAAAAAAATCCGAATTCATTTTTTTTTATTTCTCGTAAGATTCCGATTTTTAACATTTTGTTTCTGATGTTTCTATTTGGTCAAAAGGCCCACAAATATACAATATATATTACTAGTCTTATTATCTATTATTATATATTTATTATTGATATTATTGATATTATTCTTACATACATTATATTATTATAATTATATCATTATCTATTTTATCATTTATTTTAGTTTTATTATCCATATCTTTGTTTTTTCTCTCGAATTTCACCAGCCTTTTATATCGACACACACACACACACACACACACACACACACACACACACACACACACACACACACACACACACACACACATATTTTGTTCCTCAACGATGTGGTAAAATCATTATTACTTAGTGTTTGTTTAACATGAGATGATTTGTTTTATATAAAATTGTTTTTACCAGGGAGATTAATTTAGTATGTGTTATGGAACCTTACCCATAATAATAATAATAATGTACTATTCCATACTTATTAAATACTGCGCCTCAGTCTGTCAGTCGTTCAAGTTGGGACAGTAGTTCAAGTCGAGTCAGAGGCAGTCCGAACAGAGTCGCGTTCAGACAATTACTGCAAGACATTGGAATAGTGATACTGGTCGAAGTTTAATCATACACTAAAAAAAAGTAAAAACTTTTAAATTTGGTGTTATCAAAAACTAAAAAAAAATATCATTTAAAAAATGTTAAAAGGTTTTGCACAAAGTCACTATTCTGTATTAAATTTCTCATTCTTTAAGAATCTGTCTCTGGTTATTGATGTAACGAATATGCATACACCTGGTTCCCCCTCACAATAATATGATTGGCTGGTGTCAGCCATAAATACAGACTGATGTGGAGGTACAGGAACGACGCCTATTGCCTACCACTACGACGAGGACCAGTCCATTGCGGTTACCTGCTAGATTGTCCTACTCGGTTACAGTAGTCAACAACCACTTTGCTACTTCGAACAAATATATCCCTTTCCGGGGCATACCAGTTATCAAAACAGTGAAACTAACAAAAAGAAATCTTGATTATGCCACGATATATCAAGAATAACTTATATCTTTTGCACAAATCCATAAAAATCACCATAGAAAAACAAGGTACGGGTTTCATCTCCATCGTCTTTCACTAATTAAGGAGATTAACTATGAGTTATGATAATAGTTGCGATAACCTATTATCATGAGATAATAAGGCATTTAAGGGGATTGCCTATTAGCTACGATAATAGGTGCGATTAACTATTATCAATGGTACAAATCAAATGTCATAAAAATACTTATTAACTATACTGTTATGGTCCGGTTCCTTGTACCACGGTGATAGTCCAAGGTCTAACCAATAAAGAAGAACTCGAACACAGGTATGGAATAACACAGATATATTATAAACAGGAATATATACAGAGAAGTAGAAGTGTTAGTATGAACAATCTGGTTTAGTAGAGAGAACAATGTAGTCTGGACATACTCACAAATAACATTTCGTCTATTGCAATTAAATAAAGTGAGAAATGTGCTATGACTGTGAAAATTAATTTTATTTCCTATTTCCCACGTACTTTCGATCTTATTTGTGAGTATGAACGGATTTTATTAAAAATAAGCAGACATAATGTCTATAATTTATTTAAACAAACATGCCTAAAAAGATAATATGCTGCCTAAATAGACATGTATATATATATATATATATATATATATATATATATATATATATATATATATAATCTATGTATATATATATATATATATATATATATATATATATATATATATATATATATATATATATATATATATATATATATATAGATAGATACTTTATATATATATATATATATATATATATATATATATATATATATATATATATATATATATGTATATATATATATAAAGCAAGAATGGAAGATAATGTAAATATGTAAATGAGGACGGAGGAAACAAATTAGGTTCTTTGACGAAGGAGAAGGAAAGTATTTTAAAAAAATGGTGGGTTAATCTGGAAGTTCATTCATGGCCAATATTCTCCTGCTGTTCTGTCGAAGGGAGAGCGATTGGTCGAAGCCAAGAATTCAATTGGCACACTGTCAACAAATTGGCGCACTGTCAACAGTTGCTCGCGTATAATCCTTAACCGAATAAAAAATAATGAAATTACTTATATATATATATATATATATATATATATATATATATATATATATATGTTAATAGATCAGCATGAATGGATACTTGAAATAGGGATAGAGATAAAGGAGAGAACACTTTTCAAACGTTTTCTTGACCTCTTGTCTCTTCACTTTACACCTTTTCAATTAAGTTAATGCATCGCAAATCCCCAAAGAACCATCGAATATTCTGTGTGGTTCCTGGTTTATTAATCTTTCCTCTTCGAATTCTTTATTATAATATTTGTTTTTCTTTTCATTGCTTCATTCTCTTTGTTTTATATTTTATTCTTTTTTTTTTATTGGGTCGTCTTTCTTTCTTTCTTTCTTTCTTTCTTTCTTTCTCAACAAATATTCTTGAATCACATTCTCAGATTGCGTCATTGGCTTTATTTCTTTCTTCTTTTTTTCTTTCTTTCTTTCTTTCTTTCTTTTTCAACAGATCATCTCAAATCTCGTGTTTTATTGATTTTCTTTCTTTCTTTCTTTCTTTCTTTCTTTCTTTCTTTCTTTCTTTCTTTCTTTCTTTCGTAACAAATATTCCCAAATCTCCTTCTCTGATTGTTTCATTGATTTTCTTTCTTTCTTTCTTTCTTTCTTTCTTTCTTTCTTTCTTTCTTAAAAAATATTCCCAAATCTTCTCTGATTATTTCATTGATTTTCTTTCTTTCTTTCTTTCTTTCTTTCTTTCTTTCTTTAAAATCATTGTTGATTTTCTCTTCTCACTTTTTACCTACTTTCATTCATAAAGGCTTAAAATACTTCATTCATTTCTTATTTTCTTTATTTCATTATTTATGCTTTTTCTCATTCCTGTCTTTACGGCGAATTTTTTCCTCCTTTCTTTCTTTCTTTCTTATTTCTTTCTTTCTTTCTTTCTTTGTTCAATTTCAGAATCTGTAAATAGCTTATAAATCGAGGCGTTAATATCCTCTTTCCAATTATATGCACACCCTCCCTACCCAGTCAGACATACTGGCATTAATTTAGCCCGAGATACTAAATCCTACACACACACACACACACACACACACACACACACACACACACACACACACACACACACACATATATATATATATATATATATATGGACGGATATGAATTAATATATAATCTTGTAAGACATCCCGCGACATAGAATGACAGCTACATTTCTCCGTTGCCACTCTGGACCGCGCCGCATATTGAAATCTATACAAAGCACACGAATAATGAAGCGAATTCTTAAAGCTATCAAGGAAAATGTCGAAAAGCGGCGTTGATATTGAAAAGCGCCATGGTTGGGAAAAGATGGAAAGGTGAAAAAAGATTGGATATGGTAATAAGTGAAAATATCTGGAGGAAAAATAAAACTAAACATGAAAATCACAAACAGCTAAGCGTACGCACATATATAATCCACGATATTGTCAGCGAGAAGAGGAAGAAAAGGAGGCGATAAAGAAAAGATGGGATAGATAGGAATGAAGGAAAGAAAGAAAGAAGGAAAGAAAGAAAGAAAATGGAAAAAAATAAGCAAAAACTAAACAAGGGAATGTAAGAAAGAAATAAAGAAAGGAAGGAAGAAAGAAAGAAAGAAAGAAAGAAAGTGATAGAGAATGAAAGAAAATTAAAGGAAAGAAATAAGCAAACACAAAACAAGGGAAAGAAAGAAAGAAAGAAAGAAAGAAGAAAAGAAAGGAAAGAAGCAAAAAACTAAACAAGAGAAAAACATAAAGAAATAAAGCAAAAGGAAATAAAGTAAATAAATAAGCAAAAACTAAAAAAGGGAGGTAATAAAGAAAGAAAGAAAGAAAGAAAGAAAGAAAGAAAGAAAGAGGAAAGAAAAAATAAATAAGTAAAAACTAAACAAGGGAGATAATAAAGAAACGAAGAAAGAAAGAAAGAAAGAAAGAAAGAAGGAAAGGAAGAGGAAAGAAAGGAAATAAGCAAAAACTAAACAAGGGAAGGTAAGAAAGAAAGAAAGGAAGAAAGAAAGAAATGTCGGATATCAAGGTTGAGATTAGAAAGAAAGAATGAAAAAGAAAACATAATGCTATAAGTATGAAATATAAACAAAGAAGAAAAGCAAGCAAGAAAGAAGACTAGAGCAAAGGAAATAATGAAGTTAAAAGGGATAAAGGTGATAAAAGAAACTGAAGAAAAAGGAAAGAAGAAAGTTATATGAAAGGAATAAGAATTACAAAAAAGGAAGTGAGAAAGACAGACAGGCAAGAAAAAAAGGAATCAAAATAAAAATCAAATAAAAACGATATAGATAAAAGAAAGAGTAGGAGAGAAAAGTAAAAAGAAAAGAAAGAAAAAAATGGATAAAAGAAAAGAAAGAAAAAAAGAAAAGAATAAAATTGAAGCAAAGCCATTAAAAAGGAAGGAACAGGAAGTAGAGACAATAATAGAAAAAGGAAAACAATATAAAGAGCGAAATGTAGAAAGGAAGAAAAACGAAAGAAAAACGCGAAAAAAGAAAGGGGAAGAAGAAAAAAGAAAAACTAGGACAGAACAAACAAGACTGAAAGGATATAAAGAAAGAAAGGAGAAAGAGAGTAAAATGGATGAAGAAAGAAAGGACAAATGTCAGAAAGGGAGAAAACAAGGAAAGGAAAAAAAGAAAGAAACATAAATAAAGTAATAAAAAAGAGGCAATGTCGAAAGAACCAAAGGTGGAAAGAAAGAAAGGCAGAAACACGGTAGAAGAAAATAAATGAATGAAAGGCGGAATGATACAAGGGAAGAAAGCCTAACCCGCCACCTCCGAAAAACTAAGAATTGACTGGTAGAGAATTCTAGAAATAAAGTCAGAAACAACAGAACAAAAACTAAGAGAGATAAAAGTGTACAGAATGAGTCATAAAGTATGGAAGAAAAGAAGAAAGAAGAATTCACTACGTCGAGGAAATTTAAATGAAACGGATGAAAAAAAAAAAACGCCGTTGCGTACAATGGCCGAAACGTTGTGAATATGACAATAAAGATGAAGACAGCAGTCCGAACACTGTAAATAATGTAAATAATTACAATACCTCATATCAGAAATATAGACGATTCTGAAGAAAGCCGGAGCGTACAACGGCCGAAACGTCGTGAATATGGCCATAAAGATGAGGACAAAAGTCCGAAGAATGTAAATGATGTAAATAATTACAATACTCCTTCTCAGAAATATAGACAGATCTTGAAGAAGGCCGGAGCGTACAACGGTCGCAACGTCGTGAATATGACATTAAAGATGAGGACAAGAGTCCGAACAATGTAAATAATTACAATACTCCGATATATAGACATATCCTGAAGAAGACCGGAGCGTACAGAGACCGAAACGTCTTGAACATGACAATAAAGATGAGGACAAGAGTCCGAACAATGTAAATAATCTAAATAATTAAAATACTCCATCACAGAAATATAGACAGATACTGAAGAAAGCCGGGGAGTACAACGGCCGAAAAAATGTTTATTGGTGAAGGAAAGAAAAAAAGAGGAGGATAGTGAAAGGAACAAAAATAGTGAAATCGAGAAGAAAAAAGGAATGAAAGAGAAAGAAAATGAAGGAATGAAAGAGATTAGAATGTTCCAACTTTTAAAAAAATTCACCACAACTAAGGCGATAAATCCACTAAGACGCAAAGGGTTACTGACTGTAAAAGAAAAAGAGAAAAAGAAAAACATTTTAATAAGAGAGAAAAATAATAGAAGAGGAATTAAGAAAATGACGACCGGCATTGCATTTAATATTATTAAAGATCAAGGTTAACTAGAAACGAAGAGGTTGTAAAAGAATCCCACAAGCGACAAGTTTTATTTTCCAGCGCTTAATGAATAGCTCAGGAGAACAACAGACGTGAAAATATTTATAGATAAGGCACACGTCATGGCGGCGGAAATAGGGACTGAAGCCGAGATGCCAGGTCTAGACCGATATTGTCAAGAATCTCTAGATACATAACAAGAAGCACGAGGTCAGATGGGTCAGAAATATTATAAGAATACACAAATGGTCGACTTATAAATGTGTAAGATAGATTCTGGCAAGATAAATTGTTTAACACGATACAATAAACCAACTTTCTTAGTAGCAGACTTAGCAATTGAATCAATATAACAGTTCCTCTTCATGTCAGTGGAAAACGTTTATCCGAGAAGATGCAATGAGTCATTCTCCTGGGGGTTAGCATCAGCCATGACGATGGAAACCAAGGAAGAAAAAAAATAGAGAAGAAGAAGAAATGATAGAAGCGAGGATAACGAGGAATGAAAACATAGAAAGATATTGAAGCGGGGGTTAAAAGATAAATGTGGTTCGAGGCTGAATGGTAAAGGAGGAAATCGTAAGAAGCAGTGGTAGGAAGACAAGGGAAGGTCAGAGCAATAAAAGAAGAAGAAGAAGAAGAAGAAGAAGAAGAAGAAGAAGAAGAAGAAGAAAAGGAAATGATGCAATACATGGGAAAGGCAAAGAAGTAAGGAGAGAAGAAGAAGAAGAAGAAGAAGAAGAAGAAGAAGAAGAAGAAGAAGAAGAAGAAGAAGTAGAGATAATGATATAGACGCACATACACACAAAAAGAAAGAACACGTTAAAGAGTGAGAGGGTTAAGAGGAGAAACAACAACAAGCGGAGGAAGAGGGAAAGTTAGAGGAAAATAAAATCAACGAGAATAAACAAAGAAGAAGAAGAAGAAGAAGAAGAAGAAGAAGAAGAAGAAGAAAGAAGGAAATGGGAAATACAAAGGAAAGGAGAAAGAAGAAGAAGAAGAAGAAGAAGAAGAAGAAGAAGAAGAAGAAGAAGAAGAAGAAGAAGAAGAAGAAAGCAAAGACGAAGAAGAAGTGATAAGTGTAACGGTGGTATTAGAGAATGATTTACAAAAAAGAAGAAGAAGAAGAAAGGAGAAAAAAAAGAAGAATGGAAAGAAGAAAATAAGAAAGACATAAAGAAAGAAGAAACGAAAAAAAAAGGGAAGATGAAGAAGAGAAGCAACAGCAAGCGAAGAAAAAGGAAAAGGTAAAGAGGAAGATGAAAATAACGAGAAAAAACAAAGAAGAAGAAAAAAAGAAGAAGAAGGAAAGTGGATAATGAAAAGAAATACATTAAATTGAAGAGACTGATGCTAAAAAGAAAAACAGAAGTGTTAAAAAGAAGACAAAACAAGACAGGGACGGTGAAGAATTAGAGTTAGGAGAAGAATTCACGAAAAAAGATAATGAAGAAGAAAAAGATAAAATAGAAACAAAAGAAGAAAAAAAAGAAAAAGAGAAAAGAGGAAGAAGAAGAAATAGAAGAAGTTAGAAAAAGAAAAAGAAAAAAAACAAAATATGAAAAAGAGCAATAAACTAAAAAGAAAGGAGGAATGCAATTCAGAAAATGGAAGCAAGAAGAAAAATGGTCAAGAAGATGAATGGGAAGAAGAAAATATTTCGAAAAAAGACATAAAATATGAAACGAAAAAAAAAAAAGAAGCCCTATTTTTGAAAAGAACGAAAAAGTAAGTACAAATATACGAGCCAAGAAACAGACGAACTGGATATACAAGAAACAAAAAAGAAATAATAATAATAATAAAAAATAACCAAAATTAGACGAACAAGAAGTGTCAAGAATCCCATGGTGTGTGTCAGCCATGATCGAATCGTTGTACGAGCTGAAAAAATGCCAGAGGACATGAAGGAAATCAGGCAAAGGATAATGTTATGTCGAGGAAACTGTCAGAAATAAAAGAGTGACAAGATGGCCGATGGCTGTGAAAAAAATTATTGCTGTGTCTGACAGGCAATGGTGTCTGTCTGAAGCTGTAAAATATGCGGAAACTGAAGCAAATGAATGAATGAAAATGAGGGAAGTAAATACATGAAAAATTAAAAAAAGAAACACAACGTAAAGAAAATTACATGAATAATATCTATCTATCTATCTATCTATCTATCTATCTATCTATCTATCTATCTATCTATCTATCTATGTCTGTTTATTGATTATCTATCTATCTATCTATCTATCTATCTATCTATCTATCTATCTATCTATCTATCTATCTATCTATCTATCTATGTCAGTTTAATGCTTATCTATCTATCTATCTATCTATCTATCTATCTATCATAGTTATATATTTCATAGCTTTTATACTTAACAAATATCATCTTGGACTATTGTCAGAGACTCATTTTGAGCAGATTCACTTTATTTGATTACAGTAGTGAAACCACCGTAAAAAAAGTCATATCTATCTATCTATCTATCTATCTATCTATCTATCTATCTATTAAATTTGTATATTTCTAGAGACAGAGAGAGAGACGGAAAGAGAGAGAGAAGAAGAAGAGGAAGGAGATAAAGAAAAAGAAAGGATGCACATATATAAAACTTATCATTTTTCTTTCTCACACTACTTTTTATTATATTTATATATACTAGTATAATCAAATCTATCTATCTATCTATCTATCTATCTATCTATCTATCTATCTTGTATGTGCGTGAGAGAGAGAGAGTATGGGATATATATATATATATATATATATATATATATATGTATATATATATCACTTCTTTCTTTCATTATTTATAATTCTGTTCGTTTTATCTATCTGTTTTTATTAAATATCTACCCTACTCTAATAATATCTATCTATCTATCTATCTATCTATCTATCTATCTATCTATCCTATCCTATTCAATATCTATCTATTATCTATCTATCTATCTATTTCATTCTATTCAATATCTATTTATATAACTCATTCTATTTCTAAGCATCAATTTGTCTATATCATTCTCATTTTACTCACTCTTTTTTCTCTCTCTCTCTCTGTATATATATATATATATATATATATATATATATATATATATATATATATATTTAGTTTATGCAAATTTAGGTAATCCGTATGGGTAGACCTGAGGAGGATGGATATATATATATATATATATATATATATATATATATATATATATATATATATATATATATATATATATATTCATTTTAAAGAAAATTATCTTAGCCGACCTCGTTTCGTCCTCTTATGGATTGTATCAAGCCAAATATAGGGATTTTAAGTATTTTTTTATCAGTCAGTTATGTGCCATGAGTGATGCACGTTTTGGCATGACTGGCGAGGCAGATTTTTTCCCCGTAGTAGATTGCCATTTCTTTCTGCGGTAGATCAGTTCCCATCGAAGGTTATAGAACAAGGGTCTCTCCTGCTATTAACCTATAGGCTGGAGGAGAAGAATAGGATTCATACCTTTTTCTGTATGTGAATATATATAGTAAAGGTAATAAATATGTTGCTATATAATCCAAGTGGATCATAATGATACAAAATATTAAAACCGATTCACAAAAAGAGCTCAATGCATTTATAGTAACAGAGACAATAAACAGTATTACACAACAAAATCCCAAATTGCCTCATATGGGGTGATAGATCTATTTCAGACGACGAAACTACGTCACTCTTATTCAACCCCGGTGTATAAACCATATATATATATATGAGGAGGCACGGTGGAGTAATGGATAGCGGCTTCAAATCTCATGTGACGGTGTCGAGCTGTCGGTTTCCTAGGAACTGATCTGCTTGACCCTCATACGTCGAATTCGACGGGAGAGTCGATTATATATATATGGTTTATACATATGTATATATATATATATATATGGTTTATACATATATATATATATATATATTTATATATATATATATATATATATATATATATATATATATATGGTTTATACTTTATATGGTTTATACATATATATATATACATATATATATTTTTTTACACACATATATATATATATATATATATATATATATATATATATATATATATATATATATATATATGGTTTATTTTTTCATTTTTTTTATTTGGAAGTAAAGTCTGATGATCCGCAGTCTTTTTAAAAGGGCTGTAGTGAAATAATTTATTACATGGAACTTTAAAGTGGTCTGTTTTTATTTCAATTATTTGTTCTGTATTTACATTGGGCTCTCTGGATTTTTATCCTCCTTAGGTTTACCCATACGGTTTTTCATAAACTATATATATATATATATATATATATATATATATATATATATATATGTGTGTGTGTGTGTGTGTCTGTGTAAACTATTGGCCCAGGAACTACCTAGCAAGGTTTCACCTAACGGATATTCTTAGTAAACTGACTTATATATATATATATATATATATATATATATATACATATAGAGAGAGAGAGAGAGAGAGAGAGAGAGAGAGAGAGAGAGAGAGAGAGAGAGAGAGAGAGAGAGAGAGAGAGAGAAAAAATTGCACAAAAAAAATCCAAAATTATCTCATCTTTCTTCGGTTAAAATAGATCTATTCCCCATATGAGGTAATTTTGGACTTTCTTGTGTAATAGTATATATATATATATATATATATATATATATATATATATATATATATATATATATATATATATATGTATTTAAACTCGGTGGGTGGAAAACCTTAATAGCACAATTTTCAAATAAATTGGCGTCCGAGGAAAAATGGGAAAAAAGAAATCTCTGAACAGAGTGGAAAAAATCGCCAAATATCTTTAAATTTCTAGTATAAAGAAAAAAATATAAATATGTGTATACTTCAGAATTTATGCATGTAATACATTCGGAAACAATATTTTTATTACTGGAAAAATATTATACTATTGTACCCGTGCCGTCAAAAATGAAGCCAATAGTTTGAAAGTTTTAATCGTCATTTGCAATGATACAAAATTCTTGAAATAATGTATAAAGTTTTATTAAAGTTTATTTAATCCGTTTTTTTTATATATTTTTCAGAGGTTATAGGTTACCTGTGATTCATTGATTACCTCTGCTATTATATAAAGCACATTTTACTCATTAATTTTTCATGCTAAAAAAATTATGTGTTAATTATGGCAGTGAAAAGCAAATTAGTCTTGGAAGAAAAAGATTAGCGGCAGAACGACAAATGCGGCGACGACAAAATGTGTTTGAAGGTCAAGATGAAGCAAGAAGATCACTTAACAGCCGAAAGTATCTGTGTACCTCACATAAAAGATATGAACAACTAAGACTGCAATCTAAGAAACTAACTGATGAATTAAATGATTCATTTTGGGCAGGATGTTATTTTGTCTAAATGCCTACAAAAATCTGTATAGCATATTAAAACATAAAAGGGATGCGACCTAATACGATTTACCTCTTTTCTCACGACAGATGCCAGAGGAAATATATAAATAAATGCACATTGCTAATTATTAAAGGGTTTGGATAATATGAAAAGGTTTCTTTTTTATCTGAATTTGTGGTATAATCACATGCTGCATTATAACCAATGACCTAAGGAAAGGTAAGCATGTTAATTTTTGTTGTTTCCCCTTAAACAAAAGAAAATATTATTATTATTATTATTATTATTATTATTAGGCCAAT